CAACAGTGCTGTGGAATTCGAAGAGGCACAAATGGAGGGCGAAAGGTAGAAACATGTCAAGGTGAAGACATGTCAAGCCAACCCTGACTGGGACCACCTTTCACCTGGAAATCCATGTCCTCACTGCGGAAGAACAGGCAGGTCAAGAAATAGGTCTTTACAGTCACCTATGGACCCACCACCAAAACCCTACACTTGGAAGGCAATTGTACTTGGACACAAGTGATCGCCGATGATGATGAAAGGAGTTACAATTGTGTAATATATTGTGGGACCAGCTCTAATACATACACAAAATCATTATCACCACCAATTTATTAATATCCCGCCTTCCCCCTGAAATAGATAAACAATAAAAACATACATAGATTTTAATGTTATTGTTGAAATGTAATTAACAATCTATAGAATTAAAAGCCATATAAAATATCTATTAAAAAGGCAAGTAGTCAAAGCCCTTTCTTTATAAAACGGATTTTTAAAGCCTATGAAAAAATTTGAAAAGTCTTCACTTGCCAACAAAAGAACAAGAAATCATTCTAGCCTCCTTAGTAAAGGAGTTTCAACCAAATATGTCTCTGTAGATGACAAGACTGAGATAAGTGCCAGTTTTAAAAACTGAGGCAAGCTCATATGGGAAGACATAGTCATTCAGATAATCAATATGCCCTGAGGTCAATCTAAGATGGAAATGGGGGGGGGGGGGGGGGGTTCTGTGGATTGATGGCTCCAAGAAAAATAGTAATGGTAGAATTTAAATCCCTAAATTGTTTAGGATCTCTACAGTCAAAGGAACACCCCCCCCCCCAATATATATATCTACTCAAGACTGAGGACTACCAGAAGCCCTGCTTTGACCCAGTCAAAAAGAGTACTAGACAATGTAAGGAAGTAGGAGTAAAGGTTTCCCTGCTATGGCTCCCTAATTGTGGAAAACCTAAATTCTAGCAATAAGTTAAAACATGGCTCTTTATCAAAACCTCAGTGTTCTAACACCTCTCTACATACACAACATTCAAATTCGCCACATATTCTTCATATTTCACTCTTTTTCTCTCCAAAATTATAATACTGATTTGAGGAGCAGTTGCACCTGTTACTCATGTACCTACAATATATATACCTAAGTAAGTCAACTTTATGTTTAAGTCGAGAGCAGGTTTGGGGCCCCAAATTATGGATTTTGATACAACTCATGGATAAGTTGGGGGTCATTCTGCAGTGAGGAGAAAGCACCAGTGCCACCTCTTCCCCCTGCTGGTACCACAATTTCCCCACCCAGGGATCCCAAAAGGGAAGAAGTGGTGCCACGGCAAAGAGAGGCAAGTACAACTTTTAGGTTCTCTTTTACATCTCCACCCCTTTTTTGATACTTCCTTTTTTGACAAGAGATATGGTACAGTACTCACAGTGACCTATGGATAACACAGCCCAGTTGTTGTTGTTTTTTTTGCAGGATTGATTATACATGCGTATATAGACATATATGTGAATATACAGGGTAATCACTGCAGGACATCTAGAGTTTATGATAAGTTATAACAGAATTTGTTTTTAGCCATGTTACATGAGAAACCTTCACACTCAGAGAAAACGTATTTACTGTGGAAGATCCATCACTGTATAGGAAACTTCACTTTCAAGCCTAAAGGAACACAAGACTCTCAACACAAAGTTATCAGAATGAGGGAAAGAGCCCAAGGAAAGAGCTGTACGTACATAGTGATTTTCTTCAAACAAAGTTTATACACATTAGAAAAACATTTAAAATGTTTTTCACAAAATGATTTTATATGTACCATAGAATACTGTCTTCTTTTCAGTGGCACATTTGTGCTCTATCCCGTGTTTTAAGTATTGACACTTTGGGTGGGAGAGGCAAAAGGTAAACCACAACACATTTACCATGGGACTGCTTACTACGTATGTCCGTTAATTTTAGCTAGGTTGCCATTTAGTCACATCTTAAACTACATACCAAACCATGTTGTATTTGCAAGCTTCTTATAGAAACCACACACTAAAATACATGTGAGCTATCGGCAGACAACAAAAAATAACTCAGGGTGTGGAAAAGACACAAAACCACAACAAATTTAAGAATAATCTTATATACAGTATATGAACAGGTTCAGGAGACATTTCTTCCTTTAAATGTATAAATGTGGTACAACCAGGGTGTTTATTTCTGTGCGAATATGTCATCTCAGAAAGTAAAGATTTCATTACATTCATGGCAAAAACATCAAAAAAAGCACAGCCTCTTTTAATTATTCTACATGATATATTCCAAAAAGGAAAAAGTACCAGAATAGCAGTCACCAGCAAGAACCCAAGAATAACATGGATCAAAAGTGACTAAAAACTGGGGACAGAGGCACTAATTGCCATTATCCTTTTGTTTTAAAAATATTTTATTCCTTGATTTAATCTGTGAAAATGTTGGCTGCATTCCTGAACAGAATTGCACATAATTAAGTACCACAGACTTCAATGCAACCTAAAAATGCTAATCTTGTGCTAAGGACTAGAAGGCCTTGAAAACTGCTGTATAGCTTTCTTTAGAGAAAAGTCCAAAAGCAATATAAAAAGAACTGGAATCCTTTTAATATTACTTTATGGCCATTACTCTATATACTGTAAAAGTGCATACTTATATGTATACTGTATACTTACATGTATAAGTCTAGACATTTTAGTCAAAATATCAACCCCCCAAAAAACCCTTAGGTCAACTTATTCACAAGTCACTGTGAGTACTGTACCTTAAAAGGAACCATTCTATGAAGAGAGTTGCAAAAGGAAACAACTTAGTCCTTCCCAAAAAGAATCTAACAGAAGCACCAACCCCTTGTATTCTCGGTGGTATAGCATCACTTCTTGCTTTTTTGAATGTCTGTGTTGAGAAATGGTGCCGACAGCCAGAGCCGCTACTAGTCATGGGCCTGAAATTTGTCCCATTTGTTTTATTCATGTTTCTTTTTGTTCTGTCTATTCAGATAGCACGAAACGGAAAGGCTCCTCCTGGAACAAAAATACAATCAAAACGAAAGGCAGGCGGGAGCAGGTACCAGCTCAAGCCTGCTTTTCAGATCGATTCCCTGGGACCTGGCAGGGCCTGCAGCCAAGCACCAACTAAGGAGTGCTCCTTACTTGGCGCTCGGCTGCAGGCACCCTGGCGCACTGGTCCTATGTGCCCAGGTCTGGCAGGGCCTGCAGCCAAGTAAGAAGCACTACTTACTTGGCACTCAGCTGCAAGCCCTGCGAGACCCGGGGGTGTAGGCCCAAAGCCTGCACTCACAAACCTGGGCACTTTGGGCCTACAGGTAAAGTACCCCCCCTCCAAAAAATGGGCCAATTTTGGGAGGCTCAGATGAAAATGGATCGGGACCCCCTCCAAAAGCCGGGACACAAAATGGATCAAGGTAAGTCCCGAATACACATGACTAGCTGCTACCCTGCTGAGGTGGCACTGGTGCTTTCCCCTCTCTGAGGGTTTTATATAAAATCTATAATTTCTGCCCTAAAACCTACCCTCAGCTTATACATGAGGTCAACTTACACACAAGTATATACAGTAGTTATACAGAAACCAGCCTGTGCTATTTCATTATTACGAGATTATTATTTAAATCAGTGGAAGACATAATGCAGGCTTGGACGGGAAGGGTGGTATATCATGTGACACCCCAAAATCTGATTTTGTTGTTTTTCAGCTGTCTAGACTTTGTTATCTTTGAGCCCCACTTTTAGGAGGCCCTAAAAAAACCAGGTAAACTGTCCTTTCAGGAACTCTGTAAGAGCAGGATTTCATCTTTTCAATAGATTTCTGAAGAGCAATTAATGATCACCCCAATCACAAATACAGAAAAAGGAACTACTGAAAGCCAGAAATTGGGTTATTTATGCTCTGTTTTTTTACTATCTTTTAATATTGTTCAGGGGAGAGCATTTTTTGCAGTTTGTGTGCCGCCTAAAAGATCCTAAGAACAAAAAATGACTCTGGATAAAACACAATTGTCTACCATTGATATAAATTCAAACTAAGCATGTTGACTTGGAAAACATCTGATAGAGACTACTTTGCCATACCACACATTACTTTTTCTGGAAGTAACAAACTGTCTCAATCCTTTAACACTTAGATTGCTCTTGTGCAGTTTTATTTGTTTATTTATTGATTTCACATATTTGTATCCCGCCATTCTCAACCTAAAAGGAGACTCAGGGCAGCCTTATAGCAAGCAACTATTCAAAGCCAATACATATAAATAGAAAAATAGAAAAATGCAATTAAAACCATGCAATTGAACATTAATTAGTAAAACCAATAAAAATCACGTAATCCAGTAAAAGACAACTTTGTCTTCTCAGTGTTCTGAAGTACAATCTCCAACCACTGCTTATGCCTGTTGTAGATTAGATTGCCTGCCCTGCACTAGTGATGACTTGTATGAGAAAATTGATTTCTTTTAAAGTGCATCAGCAAGCTTAGACTAAGCTAACCATGATTACCTTATTCCAGCATTATCAGGAGAGAAGTCTTTTACTCCCAAAATCTGTTATAAGCACTGAAGGACCACAGTAAAGCATGAGAGAGCCTCCCAAAATTGGCAGTAGAGGTTGCAAAGGGAATCCAAAAAGCATGCCTCCTCTCTAGCAACAACATCAATGGGTTCGCCAGCCTTTGCAAGATAAAAGCCACAGTCATAGTTTCCTGTTTCACTCTTTTGAAACAGCCTTCCATATTGAATGATCTGTCCTGCTTCAGCTCTTATAGCATGCTTTCCATCTACATTAGTCTGCCTGAACGCCATTCACAGGCCACTTGAATGTATCATGTTTACATTTTTATTACTTTAAAATAACACACTCCACGTATTAATTTAAGTAAACAATAAACAAAGCCCACCAAAAAGTTATTTCAGCTTTATTTCAACTTCTTTTTTTTGTATGCCAAGTGGCTGAAATTGAAACAACAGTAATATTTTTAAAATTACCTCTTTTTCATGTATATGGAACAGTGTCTGTTCATCCAGAGAAGTGCTATTTTTCATCATGTCTATTTTAGGTGACATCTATTGAAAGAATAAATGTACATACTCAGAACCAGGTATGAGGACAACTGATGAGTAGAAAAAAATTACCAATGTTACAAAAATGCACTACTTACCAATGCCAGGGGTATAGGCTTCTCACGTAAATATCTGGGATTTTCAAGCTGCAAAAGAGATATTAACACAGAATTAATAAATAGGCCCATTATATTAATATCCAACAGAAAAATAAAGGAGAGTACCTATATTATTTGTAATCTCATCTTTTGTGAGAAAAATGCATTCCCTCATATCACTGTTGCAACTGATAACATATAGTATATTTTGACTATTTGGATATATTTATTACATGTGTATCTACCTTTCCTTCACAGGACCCAAGCCAGCATACATGCTATCTATATTTGTATCTTCACAATATCCTATAGGCTAAAGTAGGAGGCTAGCTACCTAAAGCCCCAAATTTACTTGGTAAGCACATCTGTCATTGTACAGACCTCAAAAACAGTTATCTTTTTACACTTTCAACAGCTCATCGGTTTCTCTTGTCAAAGACACAAAGTGTGGTCTTTTATTTTTAAAGTATCACAATATGATAGTAACCTCATGTACTGTATATAACCCATTTTTTCAGCCATTCTGGGGGGCTGAAAATGCCCCCTTCAGCTTATATTTGAGTGAAGGTATAAGCTGGGGCAGGAGACTGAGAGAAAAAGGCTCTGAAGCTGGCTGGCATTCGGCTCGATGGAGTGGGGCAGAGGAGGCTGCTGTTACCGCCAGTTCTCCTCCTCCGGCCCACTTTATGGAGACATGCAGATCACCGGTCAGGGCGAGGGAAGGAGGGGGCACTCTGCACACGCCCCAGGGTGCCCTGTCTGTCTCCCACCATCTTAATGATGCCATGCTGGAGGGCGGGTAGCTGCACCGAGAGGAGGCGGAGCTGATGGTGGAAGCACTGGGCTTCTGCAAAAGCAGGAAGGCAGGAAAGAAGGAAGGGCGCCACCAAGGCAAAGGAAGAAGGCAAGAGGCAGCGAGGGAGGGAAGCGATGAGAAAGGAGGCATGGCCTGGCCTTCTTGGAGCAAAACCAGCATTAAAAGCACCTCCTGGCTCCTCTGAGTACCAAGTATCGTTCCCTACCCTTGATCTAGATCAATTTGCCTCTTGTAATAGGGGGAATATATGTAATATTTAGGCCTGGGCAATGAATGGTTCTGCTGTCACATTTTGTGTATACACCTAAAGTATCTGAAACCCCTCCATTTGAATGCACACAATTAGGGAAAAATTATTAATATCTATTATTATTTTTCTCTCAATTTTGCAGTCTTGAAATTATCAGAATTTTGAACTGAAGGTTTTCTTCCTTTTCACTCGGGTTAACAAAGGAGGGCATGAAGCACAAATATTTTAAAACACTGCATGGAAGAATCTCCGAAGCAGTTACCAACATACATGCACACTAGACATTAATGTGTGATTATATATTTTCAGATCTGATACATGTCTAAAAATATTGTTGATCACTGTGGCTTTGAAATAATAAAACCTAAACAATATATTCCAACCATCATTCAGTTCTCCCATCCAAGAACCACAATGACTCCTATTTATATATTTTGGTTCAGTTAGGGCCATTTATACTGTCTGAAGAAAATGGCAGGAAAGTAGGGGGTGCTGTTATTATTATTGTTGTTATTATTATTATTATTTAATTCATTTATATACAGCTTTTCTCACCCCAGGGGGGACTCAAAGCGGTTCACAGCAAATTACAATACTCTAACTGTGCAGACAGAACTTATCTTTCATTTTACTTTAATGCTCTGACTAGAAAGTATTCTATAAACATTGACTAAAGTTTTAAAACATTTCCCTAACTCTTGTAAAGAACCAATCAACTTCAATTGGCATTCTGAAGAAAGAAAATGAAGGAAACAGCTTTCAGGATTTGTTTTTTCCTGCATCCCATCTTCCATATAAAAAGTACTTAATTTCTAAAAAAGTTTTCACTTCCAAAACGATGTATGCAAATAGACACACAGCTATTAATGGAAATGAAAATTGACAGCTACTTTGCATATTTTATTTGGCATGAAATGCAAGAAATGGGTTCTAAAATAACGTAAGGCTATAAGTGGGAAAGGTAAACATCACTTGTTTACAAATGAACAAAATGTGGCTGGGTGGTTGCTCTCTGCAGTTTTGCATTTTCCAATTTAGAGAGAACAGTACTTTGAAGTTAAATCCTTCCAGTCTGTAACCTTGTGGATTACATTCATTCAAACAGATCTGTAAACATTGTGTGTCTCAATGTTCAGTCTTTTCCAGCTATGCATCTACAATTTTTTTTTATTTTCCAAATTATGCCACAGTCACAATAAATGCTGCCTATTTAAAAAAAACCCTGAGATATAAAAAAAACAAAACACAAATGCTAAATGTTTAAATGTATTTGCCCCGTTAAGCAGATTGGTATTCTATATGAAGAAAAACTTATGATATTTTGAGTACAGAGACTTTCTTGAAAACATTACATTTCAGAATTTCTGAATTTCTTAAACTTACTAAGTTCAACAATTCTACAGGACTAGAGAAGTGATATTATACCACAGAATAATAAAAGAATATACACCAACAGGGAAACACAACAGTTTCACAGTCTTTAACCTCCATGCGCCCTTAAAAAGGTAAAGGTTTTCCCTTGACATTAAGTCTAGTCGTGTCTGACTCTGGGGGGTGGTGCTTATCTCCATTTCTAAGCCAAAGAGATGACATTGTCCGTAGACGCCTCCAAAGTCATGTAGCCGGCATGTAGCTCCAACTTATTGTTAAGACAATAAACATTTCAATAATATTTAGAATGTTTCATTATATTTACAGGTGTCATTTATGGAAATAATTTAATCAATATCCATTATTTAAACTAAGATATGTTCAACAATGTTCAAATTCTCAAACTAGTTTGGACTAGATTTCATGGGCAACAGCTCTACAGACATCTTGAATTTAGCTGTCACTGTTAAAAAGCAATGCACTGGTTCTGACTGCCCCACACTCTCCCCACCTTCTAATAGTTTCAGAGGCCTAAAGCATTGTTGCCTGGAGGGTAAAGAGAAGATAGGTAGTGGATAAATGCCAAACCTTGCCTCCAAGTAGTATTTTTTAAAATCAAAAGAACAAGAGATCTTTGGTCTTTGGTCACCAAATTGCCTTGGCCAATGTGCATGAGATGCTAAAACTAGAAAGCTCAAATTCCTAGTTTCAAGCAAAGCAGACCTATTGAATCAATGGGATTTAAATAACTGCTAACCTACAAGGTTCCCATGGACTTCAATGGATCTACTTTGCCATGAACTAATATTTGGATTTAGGCCAAGGACCTCAATATTCAGTTTTAACAGAAGATTAAAGGCATGCAAACAAGCTATATTAGATCATATTAGAAATATCTAATATCTAGTTATGCGACCCCCGAGCATAGGAACGGAACAATGGACGACGAATTTGGATCACGCTTGGTAGATGAGGCAATCGGGGATGGGATTTGTGATAATTGTGTATTGATGATTGCTTATTAGTTGTTAATGGAAATGTGTAATTTAACTGTTATTGTATATTAGTTATTGCTGTTTTTATCGCCTTTGCTGTTTGGAAACTGCTGTGAGTCGCCCTCGGGCTTGAGATACAGCGGTATACAAGAATAGTAAATAAATAAATAAATAAATAAATAAATAAATATCTGTTGTTTTAAAAACTCCCAAACATAACCTTTCTCACCACTGAATACAGTTCATTCCTCAATTAAATCTATGATTTTAATTAATGGATACAGCTTTACCAAAGGTGTATGGGTGTACGGAACCACTGGGATCTAAGGCAGTATATGCAGAATACCAAATACTGGGAAGCAGTAGTGGAAGGTTTAATGGTTTTAATAATTTTAGGTCAGTAGTTATTAGTTATTATGATTTCTTTGTTTTACTGTATGTTGGCATTGAATTTTTGCCATTAGTATGTTATAAATTGCCTTGAGTCCCCTCAGGGGTGAGAAAGGTGGTATATAAATACAGCAAATAAATAAATAAATAAATAAATAAATAAATAAATAAATAAATAAATAAGATTGCTGGTGCTTTCATTTCCTGTTCAAATAACTTCCCAGAGACATCTAGAGTGCAATATAGAATGTTGATTTTCTTATATGTGCCAATATAGTTGTTCTTATGTAAAAAAATAAATGCAGTAGTTGTGCTTTTGATTCATTTAAGAATGTTCTCTAAAATGTTACATATCTATGTGGACTAGAATATCTTCATGTCAACTTGCCTTGAGGTCTATTTTGACAGCTATGTTGCTTAAAAATGAAAATGTTAAAATTTACTAAATTTTTCATTTTTTAAACCTTTGGGCCCTATCAAATGCTGACACTAAAAACACCAACACATTTCATTCTGAAGCCAATAATGAAAGTTTACCCCAAGATTCCAGCTGTTGAGACGGGTCTCAAAGTCACTGTCATCCAAAGAACATTTTTTTGAACGATGGTCCCCCTGAAATATATTTTACATAAAACATGTTAACAACAATTATTGATAAAAAGCAAAGATCAAAAGGTGTCATATGCTGGAAATTTATTTTCTACAAAATTTACAGCTTTTCTCGTTTTGGTTCTATGTCTTTAAAATGTACACGTCTTCACAAAGTATGGTATTGTTAGCACTTTGGCATAAGCCTATGCACGTACAAGTGGTCCTGAACGAGAACTTCATACATTCTTCATATTTTTGATCATTTGCTTCTACTGCAAAAGTTACCAAATAGTTTTAATGACAGGGTCTCTTTGTCAAGCTGTGATATTTCTATACAAGAGCCTGCTTGAAAGATCAATTACTAATATGAAGCCCCCAAAATTGAAGTTTTCTTTAGTTATACTTACAAATTGCAAATTAAAGTGTCAGAAGCAAATAATAAGCTAGATACCAAGTCAAACCAATAGGCCATTCCTCTGCAAAAATGGCAATTGTTTGAAGAACAGACATATAGTACCTCAGTTAAGAAAGCCTATGTCAGTGATACCCCTTTTGACAAAGCCTCTTTACATCTCTCCAGCCCTCCTTCCTGTTCACCCTATGTCTAGCTGGACGTTTTTCTACCAGCATAATCACTAGGAAACCAAGGCTGTAGCAGACAGATTTTTGTTATCAGCTTATACGAACATGCCTGGGGTAAACAATGTTATAAATAAAGTTTGTGCCTATCTTACTGTAGCCACGTAAGCTACCATAAGCTACAACTAACCAACAACAGGTAGGGGAAGCTGGAGAGCCTCAGCTTGAGGATGCCTCAAACTGATAGATGGCTATCATTTCAATAACAACAACAACAACAACAACAACAACTTCACTCTTGTATTCCACCTCCATCTCCCCCAATGGCCTCGGGAAGCTTACACACAGCACAAGGTGCCAAAAAATGGAACATAAAATAAAACACAATAAAAATACAATTGAGTAAAACAAATAGGCATAAAAACAAACAAGACTCAAATTAAACCAGTGATCATTCAACCAATGTCAGTAAGCTACTGTAAACGTGGCCAGGCTGTAAACAATAGGACAAGGAAATAGGATAAGTGCAGGGCTGTAACCATGGAAAGAGGGAATAAGATAAATTTCAACTCTTCCCCCTGCCTCCCCAAATTAAACATAAGACCCAGCATTTGAAAGTTGGATTATTATCTCTGAATTTTTAGCGTTGGATATGTTTTAATGAATTTTAATGGTGATTTTTTAATACTGTTATGTTTAATTCTGATTTAATGTTTGAATATTTATATATTTTAAATTGTGCAGTCATACTTTTAACGTAAGGCACTTTGAGTCTCCTTCAGGAGAGGTAAAGGGGGGTAGAAATAAACAGAACAACAACAACAACAATAAAAATTACTACTATTCTGGACACAATGGTTCAAATTCCCACTTGGCCGCAGGAAAACCACAGGTGACATTGGGCAAGTCATAGTCTCTCAGCCTCAAGGGAAGAGAAAGGCAACATCCATGTGAACAAACCTTGCCAAGCAAACCCAGTGATAAGGTTTTCATTTCACATGTACATATTGCTTAGTTTTGAATACAAAGTTAGCTGAAATATATTGAACTACTTTTCCTTTTTCTTGGTGTAGCAGTTTGTGTCTTGGACTGGGCCTCTGGGAGACCAGGGTTTGAATCTCTCTTTGTCACAGAAATCCACTGTTTAACCTTGGGCAAGTCACACTGTTTCAGCCTCAGAGAAAAGGAGTGACAAACCTGCTCTGAATAAATCTTGCCAATAATAATAATAATAATAATAATAATAATAATAATAATAATCTTTATTTATACCCCACTCTATCTCCCCCGGGGGACTCGGTGCGGCTTACATGAGGCCACGCCCATCAGTACAGTATACACATTATAATACAAAAACATAACAATACCAGGAAATAAAATACATAAAATGCAAAAATCAATGTAATAAGCGAACAACAGTATAAAATCAAACAATTAAAAACAAAGGATTCCACTGATCATTTTTAAGACATAGAAAACCCCATTAATGTCACCTTAGGGTTGCCATTAGTCAGAAATGACTTGAAGGCCCATGCCAACAAGGAACCTATTCCCACTCTTTCCATGTTATTTTTGCTATTAAAAGTATTAAGGCTCAGGAATACATCTATTTGATTAACTGAGGTACAGCTATACTAATAAGTTTCTATGATAACTTTACAGCAAATATTAAAATATCTCACCAGTGTTTTTGATGGAGAGTTGTCATCTACTGGCAGATGAGGAGGACTCAAAGAATGAGACTTTAGTGCACGTTTTCCATTATAAGAGTACAGCTCCCTGTTGTGAGTTAAATGGAAAATCAGGACATATTTTAAAATAAATGCTTTTAATACTACCAAATACACCTCTTCCTAGTATATAATTTTAACTAAGGCTAATGAAAACCAATGGTGGTATATTAACTTTTTCCTCTATCACTTTTTGTTTTTTCATAGTGAAATGCAGAGTTCTATTAATGGTTTCTTCTTTCCAAAGTGCAATAACTGCTGTAGAATATATATCATCATCGCAATCATCTTAGAAGTATTACAAAACCTGTTTGGACAAACCTTTTAAACTGCATTACACACTATCTGCATAATACACTATCTATATAACAGCAACTCCTCCTCTTAAAAGCAACGATCATTTCATAGACAAAATGCAGAATAGAGTGTAAGCAAATCTTCTATCTAGCTGAATAATAGATGAAAACAAAAAACCTTATTTAATATTTCATTAACATTTAAATGTTTAAGCATTCTATATTCTTCTAATTGTTAAACAAATTATTGGACCTGATCATAAATGTACGTAACGCTTTGTTATATTTAATACTAATGGTAATCTGTTACAAAAAGTGCTAGTTCTAAGAACCACTTTGTTTTTAACCCATTTAATTAGGACTCAGGATTTGATTAGACAGCTGCAAACTACTGTAGTTAGGATTTGACTGCATATTATATTATGTTAAAAGTCTATCATTTTGACTATGAGATAACATGAATGCATAAATGCAACTGACAAATGATGGATAGGAACAAACTGCTATGTTGCAGAAGCCTTCAACAGTAGTGCAACCAGTGTCTGAAAAAGGCAGCTCAAGACGGGCAAGTAAAAAACAAAAGGATTACCAAAACAAATGCAGCAAATATATAACAGAATATGCAAAAGAACACACAACACCAAGGAGATTAAAATAAATGAGCAGAAAGTCTGAGGACTTCAAGAGGGTCCTAAAACCTACAAGTAAATTTGTGGCCGAGATGCAATTTGTGAGAAACTTTCTGACACAATTCTAACATTTAAAAGGCAGTAAGGCTCCAGGTATGACTATATCCCTGCTGAACTTTTTCAAACTAATCAACATTGGTGGGCACCTATTGGTGGTTATCCTCTTTTGCCAAGATTAATAATTCTGGCCAAATATCTGCTAGTTGGGAACAAGCAATTCTTGTAACAAGCCACTGTTCCAGGGAATTCAGACCCATTTGTCTGCTATCAATACTGCTAAAATTATATACTCATTTCCTATGTAACAGACTAGCCTTCTGAATTCGAATAACAGTCTTACTGAGGCACAAGTTGTGCTTAGAGAGAATTATTCAACTTTTGATCACTGTTTGGTCCCTGAGAAATATTCTAGACCTCTGCAAGGCAAGTTGATTGTTGGCTTTATAGAACTAGAGTTAGTTTTTTATTCCATCTCTATAATTAAGTTATAGAAAAATGATTTTAAATCTTGATATAGTAATAGCAAGTTGCAAGTCAGATATGGCTCCCGGGACATCTTTTTTTAAAACAATACCCGTATTTACTCAAGTCTAATAGTAGTTAAACTATTTGGCCAGAAATGGAAAAGAAAAGCACAGGATTGTATATTCTGGCAAATGGTAGATTTGCGTGAAGCCCAAATGAGTGGATGAACAACAAACTGGATAGGTTAGGATAGAATGCACCATCAAATGTAATGTGCACCTCAATTTTCAATACCCTGAAACCAAAAAATGTATTTGCTGCCTTACTGTAATGTGCAGTGGCCAATAGTGCGCTCTTTGTAATTTGGCCAAAAAAAAAAAGTGTGCACTACAGTTGCTGGCTGCTTAGGATTTCTTCTATATAAACAATTGTGCTAGAATACCAAAGCTTCCAGCAATAGAAATGAAAATCTTGGGGTACATCTCTGCTGTAGAAAGAATCCACTTAAATTGTCTTGGTTTGAATGGTATCGAATCTAGGGGCTGTAATTTGACACGGTCTTTAGCCTTCTCTGCCAAAGAGGGCCGATGACCCACCAAACTACAAATCCCAGGATTGCATAGCATTAAATAATGGCCATTTAATTAGATGAGGTTCCTCAAATAAGAGGTTCTGGTACAGCTCATGTAGCAGCTACCTCTTTTGCTTCGGCTCAGCACTAAAATTACCATATTTCATGAATCTAATGAGAACCCTAATTTTGGCAAAGTAATATAACCAAAAACAAGTGAGCATTAGACTCAAGGAAATCATACTTTTGACCGCCATGGTCTGATCATTTATAAACTAAGCTAAGACAGAGACAGCATGTTGCAGAATATTCCCTCTCTTCTAAGAGCAGGCAGGAAGAGAGCAGAGAGATTCAATCTGGCCCAGTTTTTTATATATATATAACTAAAGGCAGTCACTTACTTAACCCTGACTAAACCTGGCTGTTACCTCACCAAAAGCTTTTTGGGATAGGTGACTCACAAAGGAAGGAAAAACAAGGAGGAAAAATGAACGATCCTAATTCTTTTCTGGAAAATCTGTATCATTCCTAGAGGACAAGAGAGTAGCAAGAACAAGTGTAGTAGTTGATGATTCTTCTAACAGAATTGTCCCTTACAAGTTCACATTCAATAAGGAAGATAGCTAGGAAGTTCAACCATCCTTGCTCCACCATAGATTGCCTACATTTCTAATGGGAGTTTGATGAAGCTTCTATTGGTTTTGCCATAGTAACTGAGGTTGCCACATACAGTTTTCTCAAATTCTAATGTAAATTTGTTTAACATTAAGGTATATTACGCAAATTAGAAACATTAATTTGCTGATGCCTCACCAAACTACAAATTCCAGAATGGCATAGCATTGAGCCATGGCGATTAAATTAGAATGAGGTCCCTCAAAGAGGAGCTCCAGGTGCAACTCCTGAAGCAGCTTCCTCTTTGGCTCAAGGTCAGCACTAACATTACTGCATGATGCGAATCTAATGCACACACCAAGCAAGATCATTTAGCAAAAAAAGGTAAGCATTAGATTTGAGCAAATACAGTATCTATGTCCAAAGGGGTCAGAAAAAATTGTATTCTTGCAGCAATCTTGTCCAATCTATTTAGAAATCACCTTGAAGATGCTGTATGGACCTCAATGGCCATTTGCCCAAACTGGAAGACGGGAAACTTCACCCTGCTCTATGCAGATGACGCAGCTTTGTTTTGTTTTTTTCAAGTTCTAGACTTGGGTTAAACTACCTACTAAACAAGTTTCTGAATTACTATTACAAAATAATCTTTAAAATAATTTTGGGAAATCTCAAGTTATAATTTTGAGGAAAAAATACCAATGTAGATTAACATTAATGATCATGTTCTGAAAGAGGTTAGAAAATTTCACTATCTTGGGATTATTTTCCATCACATGGTGTCATAACTCATAGATCTGCTTTTTATCCAAAAGCACACATAAGAACATTTTCCATTTTGTATAATTTCTATACTAAAGAGAGCTAATATAATGCTAAAGCAGTTGCACAATTGCTGTATGCCTCTGCTATTTGGATTGGGGGAGTAACATCAGATAATCTTCAGATTGAATTTTTGAGGGCTCTCCTCCAAATCCCCAGATGTATTCCTAATACAGTTTTATTGTTAGAAGCAGGCAATACTCTCCTATTACACTCCAATAAAGCTTGAGAACTTTAGAATTTTGGGTAAAGGGTAATGTTTCTCAATTGGGGACACAGGCTTTATCTCAGCATGTATCTAAGTCATCGGCCAAAGCTTCCCACCCAAAAAGCTGTTTTAATTGGTCTGTCAGCACCCCTCCTTTTTCATTTTGGCTATGACAATGCCTTCAAATATAAAAAAGACTATGGGATATTGCTTTCTGTGACCTTTGGGCTTGTTCGTACTCATCCTACTCACAGAGATGAGTATAGAATATGTCAGGCCTTTTCATCTGAGTATGTAAAGAATTTTACTATTGCTAATTGCTGCAGGTTTTTTTTTTCAACTAAGGCAATATTTAATTCACTTTCCTCCGAGATGCTCTGAGGCATACTTTCCGGTGACCCTTATATCAAAAGGTTATATCCCTGTAGTAACCAAGAAGTAGAATCCATAAATGACATTTTCTTTTTCTTTTCTTTTCTTTTTTTTTTTGGGGGGGGGGGGGGTGTACAAGTAGACTAAACACACAATTAATCAATTAATGGCAAATCTACCCAGAAGATCAGCCCAATATTATGTCAAAGTATAAGAATCCCAATATGACTTTGGTTGTTGACACATTTTCAACCGAGCCAGCCAAGATTACAGAATAGTTAATCTCAGATATTAGATCAAAATGTCTGAAATAAACTCTGTCTGTCTAGATGATTTCCACAATTGTTCTTCCTGTTCTTAATTTATCTTATATTGTATGACTTATGTTGCGAATTTGAAATTGCTGGATCTTTGGACGATAACAGAAAAATGTGATTGCAATTTGAATAGAGGGTTTTGGTATTCAAAGCTGATACACTATGGGACTAGATTTGAAATGGGTTCCAAATTGAAAGTTGACAAATGCACCAATCTAGGCTTCTCCTCAAATACACGTGGCATGTTCCCAGTATACATTTCTTATCAGATAGGCCCTGACTGACGTTGGAAGGTAAGTAGAGCCAACCCTGGCTAGTACTTGGATAGAGACTGCCAATGAATAGCAGATGTTTTTGACTATATTTCAAAGGAAGGAAGTAACAAAACTACCTTTAAGTATTCCTTGCCTAAGAAAACCCTATGAAACGCACTGGGTCATCATAGATCAACAGACAAAGGCATGCACACCTTTCTCTACACCACTGTTCCAGATGGACTCTGGCATAATAAATCAGGTTCAACCTTGAACAAGCAATTAAACCAACCTTATACAGAATTCTTACAAAAACATGTAGTAGCAGCAATTGAGCAACCAAACAGTTATGACATACAGAAAAAGTCCCTCAACAATAAGGATGAGAACTATTTTCAACCTATTGATAGGTACACTTCAGCTAACAAATTGAATGTGTTCCTGGGTGTTACTTCTTTAATGAGGTACCAAAGACAGAAACAGCATGGAAAGAATAAGGGTAGATTCCCAATGCCATAAAAAAAACAATTCAATGGGTTTCAGAAGACATTTTATTCAAAACCAACCATATGATCATATGAAATAGAGACTAGGTCAGGTAGGACTTGTAGTGGAGACAAAAACCTTTTGGATCTTCTAGAAACCACTTGAATATATCCAGGAGTTTTTTAAATTAGCAGTCTTACAAACCTATTACTTTAAAATATTCTGGATGTAGATAATAGACTGTCTTAACTGTTTTCCTTTTTTTCTTATGTTTTCCTCTTTTTGCATGTTCAGTAAAGGATCCTGGAAGCAGCTGCTGCTTATCCCACCTTCTGCAAGCAAGTAGAATTCTACTCTTTCTCAGCTCAAGCTTTATTACTTTATTTACTGCAGACACACTGTTGCAATTTGCATTTCTCTAGCCCTCCTACATTATCCACCCAATACTAATGCTGCAAACAGCATCCAGTAAGACAGAGGGCGAGAAGAAAAAAGTGGAGGCTCTGTGAATATACAATGCATTTATAAAAAGGAACTGCCTTCCCAGATGCTTTGTTTACCAAGGTATACCTGTATGCCATACTTTTTGTGTGTCTTATACCAAGGTTCAGGCTGTTACATTATCAGAAGAACATGTCAATATGTTTTGGAGAACTGGTCAGCATACTGTGATCATATTTAACTTAATTAGAAATCACTAGGAACATGAACAGTTCCTGCACTTGAGCAAACTGTTTTCTTCAACATGGCTCCATCTCATGTATGGTCGCTTTCTGACTTTCCCCATTTATTCCCCAAATTTTATTCTTTCTTTTATGGAAATGATCACTATATTGTAATAACAAGGCAATAATAGGATATGTCCTCCTTTTTCTACAGGATTTTTTCTTTAACATAACATTTCGATGACCTCTCAAGAAGCAGGCAGATAACTAGGCAGCCTGAAGTGACATACCTTCATCCCGGCTAAAGTTACTTAGGGAATATACAGACAACACAGGAACAACACAGCTTTATTAGAAGAGCATAAATCCTGCTTTAACGGAACAGTAGGCAACCTGCAACACTCTACTATTCCATTATCTCTGAGAACTGGCCATGGTGTTTTGGACTTATGGAAACTGTACTCCAAAATATTTGAAGTACACCAGATTACCTACAGATGCTTTGTGGGGATATGATCCAAATCAAGAAAATATAGGCCAGTCTTCCTCTGTTTCATATGTGCTGGGCCAAAGTTCCCATTATGTCTAATAAGTATGCTCAATGGCAATGTTTGCCTGGAATCATGATTATTTTAAAACACTTGGAAGTCACTAAATTGAAGAAGGCTAGGCTTGGTCAATGTAAATAATTGATATGTACAGTAAATCTAATAGCAATATTTTATTTAGTTAATATCCTTCCATTTCTGAAATGAAACAGTTATTGTTATTGTTGTGTATCCAATAACTCTTCAGTACTTATAATTAATTCTGAAGAGCTGAATTTTTCAAGTGTACATTAATCCAAGTGAGAACAGGATAAATACAAAGGAGCAGCACATTTACAAACACAGTATCTAAACAAGGAACTAGCAAGAAAGGTAGCTTCTATCACTCTCTTCTATAGAACACTACCACCACCTGCTGACTATTTTAGTGTTGTACATAAACCAGCAACAGCCATCCCAAAAATTATTTCCACTTTTACTGATTCGATTGCAAACAGTAGCCAAAGTAGCTGCATAAAAAGCCAAGTTTTTGTTTTGCGTAACTGGTCAGCCACAAATTGCAGAACAGCGAACTAAACTTATCACAGAAATTAAAACAAAATAGTGTCACGAAGTCCTTGTAGATGCAACAATCAGAATGGAGCCCCCGGTGGCACAGTGGGTTAAACCCCTGTGCCGGCAGGACTGAAGATCGACAGGTCGCAGTTTCAAATCCAGGGAGAGGTGGATGAGCACCCTCTATCAGCTCCAGCTCTCCACGCGGGGACATGACAGAAGCCTCCCACAAGGATGGCAAAATATCAAAACATCCGGGCATTCCCTGGGCAACGTCCTTGCAGACGGCCAATTCTCTCACACCAGAAGCAACTTGCAGTTTCTCAAGTCACTCCTGACACGACAAAAAAAAAGCAATCAGAATATTTGGTTCCAACAGAGCAAATTCCTTTCTATCACATTCCATATTTGCCAATAAATACATTTATTATCAAAATGGTCAAACTTTTAATTTTATTTAGGGTGGAAAGTGTAGAAAACACACACAAAAATGTATTATTAAAATACACAATTCTTACCTTTGTACAGATGGGGAGGTTACCAGGGCAGACTCCTCTCTAAAAGAATGTATCCAGGACTTGTCCTGCTTACTTTGTCCCAGCTCTCCCATGACCCAGTCTGGTAAGTCTTCTGGGCATTCAGTTGACTCATTCAGCATTCTTTCTGAATTTGGTTCATTGAAGTAGACAAACTAAATAAAAAATACAGGATTTTAAAATTAAAATTTTTTTTTCAGTAAAAAAAAATCGCTTGTTTGTATAAATTCTATGCATCTCCATATCCTACAATTTAACTTCATTACATTCAGTCAGCATCTAAATGTATACTGCTGTTAACTGCCTTAAGGTCGGGTTTTGACTTAAAACAACCCTAAAAATGAGAGACCTCCAAATCACCCTGTCCACCACAATCCTGCTCAGATGTTGCAAGTGTGGTTTCCTTAGAATCCTAGAGCTGAAAGAGACCGATGGGCCCATCCAGTTCAACCTGCTGCCATGAGGGGACACATAATGAAAGCACTACTTGATTGAGTCTATCCAGCTGAAATAACCACTTCTTTTCGTACTGCCCTCTACTACCAAGTTGTTTAGTCTTTTTAGTGAGTTGACTCTTCTCATGATATGGCCAAAGGCAATAATATAACAATGTTATGATATCTCGAATACTATACTAGTTTTAACTCTTGCAGATTGTATAAAACAATCAACTTATTTATTGTTTTTGCCAGTTTCCATATACAGTCTTCAAAGTAACAGATTCAACTTTTCATATTTATTTGGATGATCCTTTGATACCCAATACATATAATTTCTCCTTTTTCACAATCACTGTTATCAGTGCGTAACATTATCACCTACATGCAAACAGTTGCATTAATACTCTCAACATTTTACTATCAAACACACCATAATTTATGTTATATTAACAGCTTCAGAAGAAGACATGAGTAAACTTCCACTGAAAACATCTTGCCAAGAAAACCCTGTAATAGGTTAGTTTTAGGGTCTCCATGATTTGGGAACAATTTGCAGGCACTTAACAGCAAACTGTGATCTAAACACCTAGCCTGCTGCCCTGAATTGTATGGGTTTTTGTATCTATATTAGTCTCTTTGTTTCCCTATGTTCCTTTTTATTATTATTGAATCAACTTTTATCAACAATGTTACACTGGACAAACTCTTGAAACAATGTTAATTTCTCAGGAAACACTTTCATAGAAAATTATTGTACAGCTCAAAGGTTTGTTCTTTTCCATTTACAATTTCCTGCAGACTTTGGCATTCCAGGAACCCTGGTTGTCTTCTGTAGATATGTTTTGTCTGTTTTGTTGTTTTATTTTGATATACCAGAATGTACAATATTGCTATATACAAAGATGCACGCAGCCTTCTCTTAAATTTGCCCAAGGTTTCACAAGAACTGGTTAAAGCAGAACTGGTCACACAAAAGCTATGGGTTTTTATTACATTATCACAGTTCTCATAACAATCTCCACCTCTCTTGCTTTTTCAACACTAGTCAAGTTTGAGGGTAGCCAAAGCTGAGAAAAACTGCAGTCAATAGATTGGTTGCATGCACCAATTCTTATTGCAGCATGCAGTTATTTGGACTATGCTCTAACACAGGGGTCCTCAAACTAAGGCCCGGGGGCCGGATGCGGCCCTCCAAGGTCATTTACCCGGCCCTCGCTCAGGGTCAACCTAAGTCTGAAATGACTTGAAAGCACATAACAACAACATTAATCCTATCTCATCAGCCAAAAGCAGGCCCACATTTCCCATTAAAATTCTAATAAGTTTATATTTGTTAACATTGTTCCTCATTTTAATTATTGTATCGTTTTAAAGTGTTTTTTACACTACAAATAAGATATGTGCAGCGTGCATTGGAATTAATGTGCTTTTTTTCAAATTATAATCTGGCCCTCCAACAGTTTGAGGGACTGTGACCTGGCCCTCTGTTTAAAAAGTTTGTGGACCCCTGCTCTAACACAATGCTGAAGAGACACCATTCTTTCAAATACTATCTAAAGAGGCATAATGCATTTCCTCAAATAACCAAAATTTCAAACAGAGGTCAAGGTTGTTTTTATTTACTTATTTTTAACAATTTGTTTTGTTTCTGTTTTATTTTGTAATTACACGTGGCATTGAATATTTGTTATTTTTGTTTTTAGAAACTGCACCGAGTCCCTTCAAGGAGAGAGGGTGACTTAAAAATAAAGTTTTGTTATTACAACTACTACTACTATTATTATTATTGACAATATGTAAATTATGCTGCAAGGTTAAATGAACAGTATGGTTGAAAATGTACATATACTTACACATCTGTTTCATATTTTCACAACAAGTTGGTTAATAACTAACTTTAGTGACTGAAATAACAAATACATAACACGGAACAAGTACACACTATTAATCTGCAGTACTGACACATGTCTACATCCTTCAGTAACCTATACCCCAAAGCCACATTAAACCAAAATGATATTGTTGTTCTTCTTTTTGTATTTTGTATATTTAGAAGATGTTTTCAGCAACAGACTGAGGATGAAAGAGTTATTGTTTAATATCTTTTCTACTCGTTTTTTATGTTCCCTGGTTTGAATAAAACTGTGAAATAATACATCTGCCGTGATTTGGTCTGGATGTAATGCCACAATACAAGTCATCTTCTTTGTCTGGTCCCAATACAAAAACATTAAAGTGTGAAAAGAAATGCAAGAGAAACACACAACCATAGGATAGTCTTGCAATTCATTTCAAATTTATATTCAAGTCATTGTATACAATCATTTCATTCTAAGAAATATCAATTCCTTGAAAAATACCCTATAAATCAGTGGTTCTCAGCCTGTGGGTACCCAGGTGTTTTCGTCTACAACTCCTAGAAATCCCAGCCAGTTTACCAGCTGTTAGGATTTCTGAGAGTTGAAAGCCAAAACATCTGGGGACCCACAGTCTGAGAACCACTGCTATAAATACATGTATACATCTAGAGATGAACCCAAAAAACTTGAGTCGAATTATCTGCGGGTCAATGTGAATGGAAAATTTCACACTTTTTGAAAAAGGCTTACATCTAATGTCGTGCAACAAAATTTCAAGGAAATTCATTGGCTTACATCTAGTGTTATGTAACACTACTTCTTACCACACTGGTATAACTCTAGAGCACTGGTTCCCACCCACTGGTCCTTCAAGTATTTTGGACTTCAGCTCCCACAATTCCTAACAGCTGATAAGATGACTGGGATTTCTGGGAGTTAAAGTCCAAAACATCTAGAAGACCAAAGTTTAGGAACCACTGTTCTAGAGAGTTCACTAGCTTGTCACAGTTAATTTTAGGGGTGGGAAGAGGACAGGAGAACATCTCCCTCCCAGTTTACATCTCTAGATCCCATCAATATTACATGTACTCCCATAAATGCAGAACTCAAACTCTTGCAAGATTCATTCACCATGTATGAAGGAAGAGTTTTCAACATTCCTTTTTCTGGTTTCTGTACAAAAGGTCCCTCGAGCACACCCTTCTTCAGCATATGCAGAAGCAATTTCGCATAGAGATTCCGGTTCTTCCGACCAGCAATTCCTGTGCCTGCACCTGAAGGCTCACATAGCTTCTTAATCCAAAGGGCACATCTTTCACGTTCTTAAGGAAAGAGAGGAAATATAAATTTCATTGGTCAAAACATAAGACATTTTAAAATAAATACGGTTAACTTTTATAAACGATGTAATGTTTTAAAATTGCATGCTTATTTGCTTACCAAAATAAATGAGTTAGCCTTGCTACTACATTACTCCTTCAACCAATTAGCTCTTTTATTTTGGGACAATACCATATTTGAATATACTTTGACATTTTCCACACATGAAAACAAATACATTTCACACAAAGGTTTTCCAAAAGGTATGTGTACAAATAGAATGCATATGAAGCAGATTTATGTGTTACCAACACTCACAAAAATGTGCTATCCTGAAGATTTGAGTACTGGCATCAGTCCTTACACCACAAGTTTAGTTTTTACTAGGCACATAACTTTCCCCAAATTGTAGGATGCGACTGCTAACCTTTCAGTTCACTATCCCTCAGCAGCTGTAGTAGATAGTTCATTCTAATAGATTTTTCTTGGATCTGTCAGATAATATTTGGATTTTAACAAACAGATGTCTTATCTGTTGATCACTGTATATGCTTACTTTTATGATTTTTTAAAAATCATGTTGCACTGCTTTTCCACCAGAACAGGAATAGTTCCATATTAATAAATATAAATAGATATTGCATGTCCCCATCCTTTAAAATTATAGTGATATTTTATAAATTTCTAGAGGCACATCTACATTGTAAAATTAATAATTTGATTCCACCTTAATTACTTAAGGCTCAATTCTATGGAATCATGTGAGTTGTAGTTTTGCAAAGTCTTAGCCTTCTCTGCCAAAGATTGCAAGTTGTTCACCTGCTACAAGTCCCAGGATTTCATAGCATTGAACCATAGCAGTTAAAGTGGGGTGAAACTGCATTGATTCTATAGTGTAGATGCAGCCTCAGTTGCAATGGAAGACAGTGAATGGAAATGCTTGGCCACAAAAAGATATGTAGCACAATAATGATACAGTTCCCTCCAACATTAAGGGCTACATTCCATAGTCACTCTACCCTATTTTCTTCATCTCTGTCAAAATGTCATCTGTTTACTCAAGTGCTGACTCTAATAATTATGCTTAAATATTTCAGACAGAAGAAGCAATTCAGTAATTATGATATTACATCTGTTTTTTCCTTGGAACTCGTTGTCCACTAACAGATTTACAAACTATCAACATCAGCAACGTGACTCAGACAATTACTTTGTAGATTACATCAATTTAACAAGGCCCTGATTGTTTCTAATCTCTAAATTTATGAAAATGCTTTTCTGCTTATTAGTAAGCAATGTTATTAGTTAACATGCTCCACTATCAGATGAAGAGGTTTATAAAACATATTTGTAATTTAATAAAATTATATAATCCCAGAAAATTATATATTTTTAAAATTTGCATTAATGTGATGTGATTAATTAGAACAGAAATTAATACTTTATATAAAAGTGTACTTACGTCATTAAATTAATACAGATTATTCATGATAATCCTTCTTAACAGAAATGCTTAAAAGATAAACTAAAAAATAAATTTGAAGAGTAATGCCCATATGCAGCATTTTGCATAAAGGAGTAATCCACCAATACTGTGTAGAAAACTTCATGATAAGCACAAGCTAGATAGAGGCAGACTTTAATAGGCATCATAGATATGAATATGACATGATACACTGACACACAGCAGTGTAAATGTGTGCTGTAGAATACTACTACTACCAATAATAATAATAATAATAATAATAATATCCCACTTTTGTCTTTTGATTGACATGCAAAGAGGCTGATTAAGAAAATGAAATTTGCATTAGATAGGCCATATCATCTCTAGATTATTAAATATGGTTTTCTGTGGGCGAGCAGATGGCAACCACTGGATGGCATATGTTCTGTATCAGAAACTAGAGCTGATGTGGTCTATCCAATGCAATTTTCTGAATCGGCACCCCAAATAACCAAACCGAATCTAAAATTGATCAAAAACTGATTTGTAATCCTTTTGGTGTTAATGTTGGAGAGTGGTTCCTGGTCAAAGTGGTCCCTGGTTAAAAAAAAAAGAAAGTTGGGAACCACTAACATATGTGTACTCTTTTGATTTTCAATCATTCCTCTCGAGAAAAAAACAGCTGAAATACCTATACCAATAAAATATTATATAGATTGTTTTTGTTTGATACTAATAAAGGTGATCTGACAAAACAGTCTCAGCTTTCAAAGAATGTGAGTATGTGATTATCTACATTCTACTCACACTATATCAAGAATATATAAAACTACAAGTTCAGTTGATCGCATTAGTTAATTACATGTAGCTCAGTAATCAGCAAGGCTCAGATTAAAAACACATCTGTTTATTGTATCTGGCTTACATCGGTTTCTATAAAATGAAAAAAAGTAAAAGGATAACATTTCCTCCTAATGCTTACCTGGTTTATGAGGGAGTTTCAAAACATAAGGTTTCATATCTACAACACAGTGATCAAATTCTGCATCCAGCTTCTCCCATGTTACTTCCTCAGTGCTCATTGTGCTGAAATCAACATATAGATGTGCTTTAAAAGATCACTAAAAAAATAGAACCAAACTGTAGCACAACACATATCAAAAATAGCAATTAACATAACACAACTCTCTACACAAACCCAACAATACAATCGCTAGTAATAAAGAGAAACATTCAAAAACTTCTACCACGTCTGAGTTCATCAATTACTCTCGAAATATTCCTTCAAACCAGCACATTACTCCCAAATAAGCCAATTTACCTTGTACATACTCGAGTATAAGCTGACCCAAATATAAGCTGAGAGACACAATTTTACCACAAAAAACTGGGAAAACTTATTGACTTGAGTATAAGCCTAGGGTGGGAAATGCAGCAGCTATTGGTAAATTTCAAAATAAAAATAGATACCAATAAAATTACATTAATTGAGGCATACAGCTTCTTCTCTCTTCTTGGCACAGCAACACAGCTGGATTGCTGTGCCAAGAGGAGAAGCCACGCGCTGTGGGTTGCTGTGCCGAAAGGGGAGAAGGGACACAGCTGGTCCTCCAAAGGGTTTCTTTCAGCCCTATGCCTTTCCGCCGGGCCCTAACTCATTCCGAGTTAGGGGGCTTTTTCAGAATGAAAATATACTGAAAATTAGGCTTATACTTGAGTATATAAAGTAAATGTAGTGTAAAACACCATCTCCATTGTTACCCTTCATCCCAGTGTTTTATGTTTCTAGGCTCACATGAAATAACAGATGAAAGCACACACACATCAACATGAACAATGTCTGGAAGAAGTATACCACAGAATCATACTAAGGGGAAAAAACAAGACCTCTCTAGCATTTATAGGCCCTCCAGCGTACTAGAGCATCATGCTGGAGGACCTAGAAAACACCTTGGGACACAGATGAAATTACTGGTAACAGTGCCACATCTAGTGTTCATGCTGTAGGGGCAGAACAGGGCAAAAGAACGAAGAAGTTTGAGGACACTGTGGAGTTGCCAGAGTCTCATCCTCCACTAACCCACTTTTCTAAATAGTTCTGACCCCACTAACCCACCTTTCCAATCCTGAACTTGGCATAGGTAATGTCCCGTTATTTACTGTCCCCCAGCAACAACTGCATGACAATGCTGCACAAGAAATTAGATAAATATTTCTTTGACAACCCTTGGAACTATTGGAGAAGTTAACTGAACTGCTGTTCTTGAAATTCTAAAAAAAAACTGTGTTAGTCTCTTGCAGCATAAGGAGGAAGGAAGGGGGAGAATAGAAATGTCACAGAACCTTTAAAATTTACTGATTTTTATTTTCACAAACACTTTTGTGGATATAAATCCACTTCTTTGGAGGCTACCAACTTTGGATGGCTTTTTGGGGGGAGGCTATCATTGAAGTTACCAAAATTCAACATGAACTAGATAGTGCTATCCAATGTATATTCAGAAGTAATCCTTGTTGAATTCAATAGTGTATACTTCATATTTTGCATTCTTTGTAAGTATTTCTCACTGAAATTTTACAGGACTCATTATCACCACATGAGAATAGGCCTATTCACATATCTTTGTAAATTTAGTCTTGCTGTTTAACAAACGAGTACCAAGAGCTTCAATTTCTTTGAAAAAAATCAATTTGTATAAAACTTTCCATTCAGATAAAAGCACATATCTCACTCCTAAATGTGATACTTGTAGCAACTAAAGTTGATTTTGTTTTTGTGCTGTTGTTGTAAATGTGTAAAGGAAGGCCCTGGCATCACAGGGATTCAGCCCCCATATATTTTTATGGCAAAGAAAAGACAAAACACATATTTTTGAAAGCTTATAGAAGAAGGAATTCATCTTTTAATTGAACTTTAAGAAGTAGCGGAAGAGGTTCTGCACCTCAGAACCACAGGGAGATTGACAGCCACTCCTGGTTTGGACATACTCTCCTTCATCATTTTCTGGTATCTGAGAGTTCATATCAATCTCAAAGCAAAAAAATACCAGTTATCCCTCATATCTAATATGGATATCTTCTGAGCATTTGCTGCTGTTATTGCTTGCCATTACATCAACTCTAACTTATGTTTAACCTATTAATGATTTCCCCAAAAGCCCTGGGTACATCTGTATACTGTAGAATGAATGCTGTTTTACAGCACTTTAATTGCCATGGCTCAATGTTATGAATTCTTGGGAGTTGTAGTTTGACGAGGCACCAGCACTCAATGATAGAAAAGACTAAAAACCACTCAAAGGGTCCTTCCACACAGCCCTATATCCCAGAATATCAAGGCTGAAAATCCCACAATATTTGCTTCTGGGTTATTTGACTCCACACACAGATGATGTGGGATTTTCTCTTTGATATTCTGTGATGTAGGGCTGTGTGGAAGGGCCCAAAGCTACCACTTCCACAACCCCATCGCATTGAGTCATGGAAGTTAAAATGCTGTCAAACTGTATTCATTCTACAGTAGTGGTTCTCAACCTGTGGGTCCCCAGGTGTTACAACTCCCAGAAATCCCAGCCAGTTTACCAGCTGTTAGGATTTCTAGGAGTTGAAGGCCAAAACATCTGGGGACCCACAGGTTGAGAATCACTGTTCTACAGTACGGATGTGTCCCTATTAGTCCATTTTTTTGCTATTTATAAATACTCTGAAGGCCCCAGATACTGAAAGCTAAACAGGGTGATACCTGGTTAGTACCTGGAAAGGGGTGTATCAAGAAATGCGAGCTATTGTAAGATGATGATAAACCATGTGTGAGTATGCCATGCCTAGAAAACCTTGACACTCATAGAGTTGCCATAAGTTAAGACAACACAGACATATTTTTTTTACAAACAGCCAATAAATTATTACCCAAAAACAGGTTTCAGAGAATTGGCAAACCAAAATCTGTAGTGAGCCCCAATACTTAACATCTATACTTTAGTTAAGAATGTTAACCTGTTTGTCAATTATCTTGACAAGCAGAAATTCAGCAACTATAGCATTCTCATCAGTACACATGCATTGTGAGAGATAATTATTGTGCCACTAAACTAAGTTCCAATCCTGTGTGATAAGTAACATATGGAAAGCAATGTCATGAACTCTACAGATTAACTTCCGATTGTTTTCAGAACTAATTCAGAGACCTGAATGCCCTGTGTTACAAGATAAAATTTAAAATCACAGAATGATTTCCTTTCTGCCCATATTAGGCAATAAATATTTTCTTAAACCAAATTTTAATTCATCAGCCCTGTACATCCACAACTTGAAAATATTCCAGATCAAAAAGTTCCCAAAAACAAACCTCAATTTGACCATTTATGGAACCAAACACCAGCAGATACCAATGATCCACTGTACATCGTATTTCTATTTCACATGTATTGCTAACAGAGAATCAAACCAGGTAGGGAAATACCAAATTTACAGTTTAACACCTTCTTTTAATGTGTGTATGAAGTGATCAAGGGTCAAGATCTGTTCAGATGTAGCACTGTGCATTTTTATATCAGACTAGGCCCTATTAAATATGGAAGTTACAACTGAGTTAAAACACGTGCACTTATTTTTGAGTGTTAGCACAGAAGGGGCAAACGCCTAACAGAAAAACTCTGTTCGATGGCACTTTACTCCTAAGTAGGCAAGCATAAGGTTGTGACTAATCTTTCTATAGCAATGCTTTCCCCACAGGTTTCCTTAAGGTAGTGGTTCTCAACCTGTGGGTCCCCAGATGTTTTGGCCTTCAGTTCCCAGAACTCCTAACAGCTGTTAAACTGGCCGGGATTTATGGGAGTTGTCGGTCAAAACACCTGGGGACCCACAGGTTGAGAACCACTGTCTTAAGAATTCATTTCCTAAACTCAGTGAGACCAAGGGCCCTTCCACACAGCCCTATATCCCAGAATATCGAGGCAGAAAAATCCCACATCATATGCTTTGAACTGGGTTATCTGAGTCCACACTCAAATAATGTGGAATTTTCTGCCTTGATATTCTGGGATATAGGGCTGTGTGGAAGGGCCCCAAATAAGTATCCAAGAGAGTGGTTTCACTGTACAGATGATTATAAAGGAAATCCTGGAACTAGTTTAAGGCTTGGAATTGTGATGACACAAACCACAGAACACTGATGTATATTCAGGTCTTCTTTTGCACTTTTGTGGGAGCTTGTTGTCTGGCCACAGCAGTTTAAAGCTGAATGAAATGGTCAGTGTAGATGGGGCCTAATACTCCCTCCCCCCCCTCCAAAAAAAAGCCAAAATGGTGTAAAGGGTTTGGTTTTTTGTCCTAGGACATTCAAGACTATGGGTTCGAATTCCAATCATTGCCATGGAAGCATGCTGGGGGACTTTGGGCAAGTTACATTCTCTCAGGCCCTGTCCACACAGCTTATAAAACCCACATTGAACTGGATTATATGGCAGTGTGGACTCAAGAGCCCTTGCACACAGCCCTATATCCCAGAATATCAAGGCAGAAATCCCACATTATCTAAGTGTGGACTCAGATAACCCAGTTCAAAGCAATTGTGGTATGTTCTGCCTTGATATTCTGGGATACAGGGTTGTGTGGAAGAACTCTGAAATAATGCAGTTCAAAGCAGATATTGTGGATTATCTGCCTTGATATTCTGGGTTATATGGCTGTGTGGAAGGGCCCTCAGGGTACGTCTACATTGTACAATTAAAGCACTTTGCAACGACATTAATCACCATGGCTCAATGCTATGGAACCCTAGGATTTGTAGTTTTACTAGGGTCCCTTTCACACAGTTGTATGAAATCTACATTGAACTGGAATATATGGCAGTGTGGACTCAGATAATCTACTTCAAAGCAGGTAATTGTGGATTATCTGACTTGATATTCTGGGGCCCCTTCCACACAGCTGAATAAAATCTCACAGTATCTGCTTTGAACTGGATTAGATGGTAGTATGGACTCAGATAACATAGTTCAAAGCAGATACTGTGGATTATCTGCGTTGATATTCTGGGTTTTATGTGGAAGGGCCCTCCGCCTTTAAGCCTTCTATGCCAGAGTGCTGGTGTGTCATCAGATTGCAAATCCTATGATCCATATCACTGAGCAATGGCAGTTTAAGTGGGATCAAACTACATGACTTGTACAATGCAAATGCAACCTTAGGCCCCTTCCACACAGCTGAATAAAATCCCACATTTTCTGCTTTGGACTGGATTATATGGCAGTGTGGACTCAGATAACTCAGGGCCCTTCCACACAGCCATATAACCCAGAATATCATGGCAGAAAATCACACAATATCTGCTTTGAACTGGGTTATCTGAGTCCACACGGACATATATTCCAGATCAAAGCAGGAAATGTGGGATTTTATTCAGCTGTGTGGAAGGAATCTGAGTCAGAGTTACTGGCAGGCACACATCAATAATACCCCCTCCCCTAAGCGTTGTCAAGATGGAACGTTTATTCAGTATGTTTACTCTGAAGGAAGCCAAAGCCTTGCGCAGGGCATCCTTGCAACCTCTTAGGCCCCTTTTACACAGCTGAATAAAATCCCACATTTTCTGCTTTGAACTGGGTTATACAGTAGTGTGGACTCAGTGTTGTCCGTAGACACCTCCAAGGTCATGTGGCTGGCTTGACTGCATGGAGCGCCGTTACCTTCCCGGCGGAGCGGTACCTATTGATCTACTCACATTTGCATGTTTTCGAACTGCTAGGTTGGCAGAAGCTAGGGCAGACAGTGAAAGCTCACGCCGCTCCCCGGAATCGAACCTGCGACCTTTTGATCAACAAGCTCAGCAGCTCAGTGCTTTAACCCACTGCGCCACCGGGGGCTCCCGCACACAGCCCTATATCCCAGAATATCAAGGCAGAAAAGCCCTACATTATCTGAGTGTGGACTCGGATAGCCCAGTTCAAAGCAGATACTGTGGGATTTTCTGCCTTGATATTCTGGGATATAGGGCTGTGTGGAAGGGCCACCAATGATCCCCATAACTATATAGTCTCAGGGCCCTTCCACACAGCCCTATATCCCAGCATATCAAGGCAGAAAAACCCCACATTATCCGAGTGTGGACTCAGATAACCCAGTTCAAAGCAGATATTGTGGGATTTTCTGCCTTGATATTCTGGGCAAGGCAGAAGATCCCACATATTCAAGGCAACAGATCCCACATTATCTGAGTGTGGACTCAGATAACCCAGTTCAAAGCAGATATTGTGGGATTTTCTGCCTTGATATTCTGGGTTCTATGGTTGTGTGGAAGGGCCCTTATATCTGTTCAAACATGTCCTTTTTGAGTTTATTTACCTCGCGCAGTCCACGACGAAGAGGCTTTGGGCGCCGCCACAGAAAGGGGAAACTCCCTTTCAGCAAACTCCCACCCGAGTGCCAAACCCACCCGCCAAGCTACGGAAGGGGCGTTTGGGAAGGAGGGAGGGAAGAAAGGAAGGAAGGCCGAGCTGCCTCTGGGGCCTAAAGTGAAGGAACAACCCTGAAGTGAAGGAACTGAGTGGCAGCGCCTGCTACCAAGCGGAGTCAACGGTTTAAACCAGCACCGCCCTTTCGCGCCCGACGGCTCCCTCCCTGACGCTGGGGCCGAGCGACTTCCGCTTCCGGCTGATGACTCCTGAGCTGTAGCAGTAGAACCAAGCGTTGCTAGGCGACGCGTTGCTAGGCGACACGGCAGGGCCGCGAACTTTGTGGGAAAAGTGAAGGCCTAACTGAGACCCTGTCTGCAACATATAATAATAATAATAATAATAATAATAATAATAATAATAATAATAATAATAATAATAATAATGGCGATACCGCAGGGCCGCGAACTCTATGGGGAAAGTGATAATAATAATAATAATAATAATAATAATAATAATAATAATAATAATAACTTTATTTATACCCCGCCACCATCTCCCCATCTCTCCTCTGATGGCCGAAAGCGAAGAGGAGCCGAGGAGCCTTCTAATCAAGGTGAAAGAAGAAAGCGCAAAAGCCAGGTTGCAGCTAAACATCAAAAAAACCAAGATTATGGCAACAAGAATGATTGACAACTGGGAAATAGAGGGAGAAAACGTGGAGGCAGTGACAGACTTTGTATTTCTAGGCGCAAAGATTACTGCAGATGCAGACTGCGGCCAGGAAATCGGAAGACGCTTACTTCTTGGGAGGAGAGCAATGTCCAGTCTCGATAAAATAGTAAAGAGTAGAGACATCAGACTGGCAACCAAGATCTGCCTAGTCAAAGCCATGGTATTCCCTGTAGTGACCTACGGATGTGAGAGCTGGACCTTAGGGAAGGCTGAGCGAAGGAAGATCGATGCTTTTGAGCTGTGGTGTTGGAGGAAAGTGCTGAGAGTGCCTTGGACTGCGAGAAGATCCAACCAGTCCATCCTCCAGGAAATAAAGCCCGACTGCTCACTGGAGGGAAGGATACTAGAGACAAAGTTGAAGTACTTTGGCCACATCATGAGGAGACAGCAAAGCCTAGAGAATACAATTATGCTGGGGAAAGTGGAAGGCAAAAGGAAGAGGGGCCGACCAAGGGCAAGATGGATGGATGGCATCCTTGAAGGGACTGGACTGACCTTGAAGGAGCTGGGGGTGGTGACGGCCGACAGGGAGCTCTGGCGTGGGCTGGTCCATGAGGTCACGAAGAGTTGGAGACGACTGAACGACTGAAGCACACAATAACAACAACAATTTATTTATTTATTTATTTATTTACTCCTTTTGTATACCGCAAATATCAGCCGCGGCGACTCTAAGCGGTTTACAGTAAAATGTGCAACATTGAACAATATATATGACAAACAACCACAAACAATACACAAAACGTCATCACGCCTCGAATAGAATCAGATCCAAATCTCATAGTCGTTTTACCATTCCTTGTTCAGTATGCCGTCTTCTGAGTCAGATGTTATTGCATGCTTATCCGAACGCCTGTTCGAAGAGCCACGTCTTAACCCGCCTCCTAAACGCCAATAGCGAGGGGGCCTGCCTGATCTCCACTGGTAGGGCATTCCATAGCCGAGGGGCCACCACCGAGAAGGCCCTGTCCCTCGTCCCCGCCAGCCGCACTTGTGATGCTGGCGGGACCGAGAGCAGGGCCTCCCCGGACGATCTTAGCATCCTCGCCGGTTCGTAGGAGGAGATGCGTTCGGAGAGGTAAGTGGGGCCAGAACCGTGTAGGGCTTTATAGGCTAAAGCCAGCACCTTGAATTGTGCCCGGTAGCAAATTGGCAGCCAGTGGAGCTGGCTCAGCAGAGGAGTGGTGTGCTCCCTGAGTGCCGCTCCCGTTAGTAACCTGGCCGCCGAGCGCTGGACCATCTGAAGCTTCCGGGCAGTCTTCAAGGGCAACCCCATGTAGAGCGCGTTGCAGTAATCTATGCGGGATGTGACAAGAGCGTGGACTACCGTGGCCAAGTCCGACTTCCCAAGATACGGGCGCAGCTGGCGCACGAGCCGAAGCTGTGCAAATGCTCCTCTGGAAACCGCTGAAACTTGGGGTTCCAAGCTTAGCGAAGAGTCCAGAGTCACACCCAAGCTGCGAACCTGCTCTTCAGGGGGAGTGTAACCCCGTCCAACACAGGCTGTAACCCTATACCCTGTTCGGCCTTCCGACTGACCAGGAGTACCTCTGTCTTGTCTGGATTGAGTTTCAATTTGTTCACCCTCATCCAGTCCGACACAGCGGCCAAGCACCGGTTCAGGACCTGGACAGCCTCCTTGGTAGTAGGTGGAAAGGAGTGACAGAGTTGGACGTCATCTGCGTACAGATAACACCGCACCCCGAAACTCCGGATGATCTCTCCCAACGGCTTCATGTAGATGTTGAACAACATGGGGGACAGTATTGAACCCTGCGGGACCCCACACGTCAATGGTTGTGAGGACGAGCAGGTGTCCCCCAGTAACACCTTCTGGGTGCGGTCCTCTAGGAAGGACCTGAGCCACTGTAGAACAGTGCCCCCCAGGCCCATTCCCACAAGGCGCCCCAGAAGGATACCGTGGTCGACGGTATCGAAGGCCGCTGAGAGATCCAGCAGAACCAACAGAGACACACTCCCCCTGTCGAGCTCACGCCGGAGATCATCGACCAAGGCGACCAAGGCTGTCTCGGTACCATGCCCCGGCCTAAAGCCAGACTGCGCCGGATCCAGATAATCAGTGTCTACCAAGAATGCTTGGAGTTGTGAGGCCACCACACGTTCCAGGACTTTGCCCAAGAAGGGAAGATTGGAAACAGGCCGATAGTTGACGAATTGAGTGGGGTCCAGTGATGGTTTTTTCAACAGCGGTTTTATAACAGCTTGTTTTAAGCTGGCTGGAATTATGCCTTCCCGAAGGGAGGCATTAACCACCACCTTTACCCACTCGGCCAATCCCCCTCTGGCCTCCTTTAGAAGCCAGGATGGGCAGGGGTCTAGGATGCATGTGGTTGCCCTCATCCCTCCAAGCACCTTGTCCACATCCTCAGGTGTCACAGATTGAAACGAATCCAACAAACTCGGACAGACAGGTGTTCTCGTCACATCCTCAGAGACTGCCGTTAACATGGTGTCTAGACCTGAACGGATCAAAGCGACTTTGTCCGCAAAGAACCGAGCAAATGCTTCACAGCGGGCCGTCGAGTTGCCAGGGCTCCCATCCAAGATGGTGGGTTTTAATAGGCCTCTGACAACTCGAAACAGCTCCGCCGGACGGTTCTTTGCGGACGCAATATTGGCAGCGAAGAAGAATTTCTTTGCTGCTTTTATTGCCACAGCATATGCCCTTAGTAGGGCAACAAACCGTGTTCGGTTTGACTCGCTCGGGTCCGACCGCCACACACGCTCTAGTCTCCTCTTCTTTCGCTTCATTGCTGCCAGCTCCTCGGTGAACCAAGGAGCTGGTTTAGCTCGGCTACTTGAGAGGGGACGTTCCGGAGCGATCGTGTCTATAGCCCTGGTCATCTCCCTATTCCAGAGAGTCACCAAGGCCTCAACAGGATCACCAACCGAGGCGGCAGGAAACTCCCCAACAATCCTATCTCAACAGCTAAAAGCATGCCCACACTTTCCATTGCAATACTATTAAGTTTATATTTGTTAAAATTGTTCTTTATTTTAATTATTGTATTGTTTTTAAATGTTTTTGCACTATAAATAAGATATGTGCAGTGTGCATATGAATTCATTCGTATTTTTTTGAATTATAATCTGGCCCGCCAACAGTTGGAGGGACTGTAACCTGGCCCTCTGTTTAAAAATTTTGTGGACCCCTGCCTAAGAGGATATCATAGTTCACCACATAATGTATAAGGAAGTTGCCCTGCCTCTGAAAAAAGCAATTAGCGATCATGAAAAACCCTTATCTTAGGACATTTCTTGCATGGAAAATAACAAAGGAATATCTTTCTTGACTTCGGAATCAGGCCATCAAGAGGATATTCACTTGGCAGACTTTTTAATCACATTATAATGGGGGGAAACAAGGACCTCCAGGAAGTCCTTTTCCCCAACCCGTTTTCTTTCAAGCCTTTCCATTAAAGACATTCACCCAAAATCTCCCCCATTGTGCCCCTGCCTGACCGCAAGAGGAAAATCCGGATTAAGTGAATAATGCTTATCTCAGATCAACCACGAAAAAATAGACAGGTTTCACCTGAAGGCCATTTAGGACTCGCTGAGCCACATGGACATTTCCTGAGTTCCATAATCCATTCAAGAATGCATTGTATTCCCTTCTCCCACCTCCCTCCCTCCCGATTCGTCGACGCACCAAGGCGGCAGAAGCCCTGTGATTGGCCCAGGCGCTCAAGGGGCAGACAAGCCTCCTCCCAGTTGTTGAGGTGCCAGCCAATCACCTTCAAGCCAGGTGGGGGGGAGGGGGAGATTCAAACCCCACACTCTGTTTTTTCTATAAAAATTGCATTTATTTCTGTACATGTATGCTTAGTTTGGCGAATGATTGCTGCTTTGCATCCTTTTCAGCTGAATCGCAAATAAACCTCGGTGGCACTTTCTTCAACTTTGGTGAGATTCTTTTTGGGAACTTAGGGAAAATAAATTGCTTAAAATTAGGCTTCTCTTTGCTCACCAATGTAGCGATCCCTCTTTGGTGGGGCCGCAGGGTCTCTCCTCCTGGGGTAGACTCTTCTAAAGTTCCTATTGACTTCAGGTGGATGAGCCTTTGCCCACCTGCCCCTATAGCTCTTCCCTCAGCTGGCAAGCCCCATAACTCCAAGGAGTAGGCATAAGAGTGGGCAGTGCAACCATTATGCAAAGAAATCAATTTATACCAACTTTGGCACCCAAAAAAGGCATGCAAGATTTATATGTGGTGGAGACTATTATGCAATGAGATAAAGTAGATTATTTTACTTTCCAAAGTCCAGAGGAGTGCCACTTTTTAAAAAAAGGAGGAACTGTTATACAAAAGTATGATTATACAGAAGTTTTGTACAGAAGTGCTATCTAGCTCCTGTTTAGGAGAATAAAAAGCCCAGAAACCTGTGCACACTGCAATCCAGCTTCAAGAGTACGCAATTCTACTAAACAGCTTAGTTGTAATATTCTGACCCTCCAGAGGAATGTATTGTCAA